GGGCCCGGGCTGTCCACGGTGGGAGAGCTGCAGGGGCGCGGCGGGCTGGCACGCTGGAAGCGGAGGGCGCCCCTACACAGTGTCCGTGAGCCCGGGAAGTGGGGAGCTCGTCGTTTCTCCGTGTTGTGGGAGTCATGGGGGACGTGGCCTTGGCTGCCGGCCAGCAAGCATTCCTTTTCTACTCTTTTTTTTTTTTTTTACCTTGGGCGAGTCATTTTATTGTGTCCTTTTGCCTCTTTCATTTGTAGCTTCCTTCCCACTTATTTGAATATTAAGAAAAACATAGGTGATGTGGGAAGACCTTGAGCTTGTAGAAGATACCTTGATATCTGAGCAAGGTACATGGGGTGATGGAAGGGATTTGAGTAGGTGTTGAGTTCTTTCCCCGATCTTACTAGGTCCTAGTCATTTAAACCTCTTGGTTCTCAGTTCCTCTAGATATAAAATGGGAGTTGCTACTGTTTGCCAGACCTAGAAACAATTATGCTTTACATATATATTGCGCTTTATACAAAGCACTTTAATTATGGAATCCGCAAACAACCCTGTAAGGCATCATTCATTAGAGGTGGAGAAACTGAGGCCTAAAGTTAGTGATTTTGCCACTTCCTATAGATAATGAAGTCCCACGGAAGGAAGGATGGTAGCACCTGGTGTGTGTCTGCTACTGCCTAGCCCTGTGCTAAAATAAATTAAGGGAGATAAAATGAAAAAAAAAAAAGAAAAAAGACCTCTGGTATGGGCCTATGAAAACAAACCAATTTTACCAGTGAACACACTGAATTTGGTTAATTTCCTGAGCAATTATGGACAGTCATTGGAGACAGAACTAGGTCCAATATCAACTTTGCCAAAGTTTTTGTTCCATTGTGTCTTGCCACTTCAAAAAACAGGAAGGCATGAAAGTGGTTTGCAATGCATTAAGTTTTAGAACATGCCAAGCAACAACATGATGCTGTTGGAGTCAACACAAATGGAAGTTTTGCACTTTTTGCTACTAATGCTCCCTCCCATCCTTATTACAAGTCACCTTACCTTCTCTTGCCTTATGCTTCCAGTTTCCCTGATTTTTAAAAAAAACAAAATTGGAACTCATTCGTTGCACAATGGGACAAACTCTTTTAAATCCAGACGATTGGTTACTTAACTGGTGTCAAATGCAACTCTGTCTCTTTTGTCCTTTTTATAAACTTATTCTGATCTGTATTCCGCCTTTAGATAACTAGATGATAATGTATGTGAATCTGTCCACAGCTCCTGTGATTTTCTGGGTTAAAAGCTTGGTGTACAGGAAGCTAACTGGGATCTTGCTGATTTTCCAGTTAGGTTGCCCATTTTTTTTGGGTGCATCTTTTGGAGTTTGTGGTCTGGCTTTTACTGTCTCATTTTGCATGTGGTCATGTTGGCATTATGATTTGCTCCTCGCTGTCTGCTTTCCTTTCTCCTGCATTGTATTTCATGGTTATGTAGCATTCACCAGTGGTCACTGATGTCGTGATCATTTGACATGTTTTGTCATTTGTGAGTGTGTGAACACCAAACGTTGGTATTGGACTTAGAGCTCTAATTTCCTATTTGTTGCCATTATCTTTTCTCTGGTTATTAGATTCCTCTATCCTTCCTGGGCTTATTTTATTTGAAGATTGAATTTGGTTCTGTCGTTGCCCTTCTGGCTATGGAGTCATCTACTTCTAAAAGCATCTCACTAAAGCACCTCAAATCTTATCTCAACTGTCAGTCACATGTCTTTTGAGGACCAGTCTCATATTTCAAAGTGCCTCCTGGAGCTTTACCTGGCATTCCACAGATAACTTTAAAACAAAACAAAACTATTTTCAAAACTGAAACCTTTCATCCTCCCCCTCACTCCAGGAAAAAGTGATGAAAAGAAAAGCACTATTTCTCCTTGACTCCTTAATGTAGTTAATGATATTTGTACTGGAAATTTCAGTTTTCTTTGTTTTTTGTTTTGTTTTTTTAATATATTTTATTGATTTTTTACAGAGAGGAAGGGAGAGAGATAGAGAGTTAGAAACATCAATGAGAGAGAAACATCGATCAACTGCCTCCTGCACATCTCCTACTGGGGATGTGCCCGCAACCCAGGTACATGCCCTTGACCAGAATCGAACCTGGGACCTTTCAGTCCACAGGCCGAAGCTCTATCCACTGAGCCAAACCGGTTTCGGCTCTTTGTTCTTTTTTTATCTTTTTCATCCAGTCTTGTTAGAAAAGACTTGTTGATCTTCACTTTTCCTCCCTCTCTCCCTCCCTCCCTTCCTCCCTTCTTTCCTTCTAGTTAATCATCACCCGAGGATATTTTTCCCATTGATTTTTAGAGAGAGTAGAAGGGAGGGCGGAGGAGAGAGAAACATCAATTGGTTGCTGCCCGAAACCCAGGTATGTGTCCTTGACCAACCAGGGCCTCCTGCTTCCTGTTTCTGCCGCTGCTCTCAAGACTTTACCAACTCTTGCTTCAGGTTCTGCCTTGTTTTCTAGACAATCTTCATGACTACCCTACCTCCACAGTTACTGTTCTAAACGTGCAAATTTGATTGTGCATTGACCCTGCTTAAGAGCTAGATGATTCTCTGAATTGCCTATCTGTTAACATTCAATTTCCTTAGTGTTATATGTATTTAAGGACATTTATAATCTGTGCCTCCAAATTTCTTTTTCAGCTCTGTTTCCCATTTGTGAACTTCTTGTTATGACGAAACCTGACTTCCCTTCACACCAGTGCTGTGCCATGTCTCTGTGTTTTTGTACATTTTGTTTGTTTTGCCATACTGAATCCTGTTCATCTTTTGAGGCTGAGCTCTTCATAAAGGCTTTTCAACTTTCCTGTTAGCTTTTCTTTCTGTCATAGCACTTCCTGTGTGCATTGGTGTGGAATTTACATTGCCATATGTATAGTAATTTATGTTTGTTTTGTAGCTGCTTTATGGGCAGGCTGTCTTACTCATTTTGTATTTTCAGTGTCTAAAATAACATTTGACACCAGATATGCCAAGAGAGGAAGCACTCGTGTTTATAATGAATTTTAGACATAGTGGATACTTAAAAGTGGTTGTGAAATGAATTGGCAGTAGAAAAAGCTATTCAAATACATAAAAATATGTTCTGCTCTGTAAAATAAATGATCATTTCTTGTTTTTCCTTTTAAAAAAATGTTTTTATTGATTTCAGAGAGAGGAAGGGAGAGGGAGAGAGAGATAGATACATCAATGATGAGAGAGAATCATTGATGTACCCTCACTGGGAATTGAACTGTGACCTCCTGGTTCTTGGGTCGACACTCAACCACTGAGCCACACTGGCTGGGCTTCTTTTTAAAATTATTCCTTCATTTTCTTGTGAGAAACATACATAGAAAAAAAGCTCCCTCCATCCTAGTTTGCAATATTAGGTGAACATGTCTCCAAGAGAGGAGCAGTTGTTTGCAGGTTGTGAGAGGACCTAAGGATGATGGAGCCTGGAGCCTAGACCTTTTGGGTTTGTAGAGAAGTAGGCTGTGATGCTGGGAAGGACCTGGCATTGGATCAAGAGCAAGTACTTGGGGAAAGCTAGCTCTATCATGTTTTCTTTCTGCATTTGTTTCTTTTAGAACTAATGGAACAAAATATTTTAAAGTGTTTCCATTTTGAGTCTACAGTATTTAGTGATTTTTTTCCCGTAGTTACGTTATCCGTTATCCGTATACTTGCTTGTTACTAAATCTTTGGTTATGACATTGCACAATGATTAAACAATAGTGATATAGAAATTAAACCTGATGTTTTTAGAAACTGCTTCAAATATTTCTGAACATGGAAAATGGAAGGGAGAATGTTATAGCATAAAGAACACTGGACTTGGGGAGTCAGA